TTAAACTTACAATTAACAAAAACATCGAGGCTAAAAGATTCAAATATGCTTAACTATAATAAATTCAATATCTTGTATTAAAGTATATATGTAACCTTCCATGAAAAAATAAAAATATCTAAATTCTCTTATCCAAGACCACTTTTTTTCTTCTGTTGAATGTATTTTGATTATTTTACTGTTTATTAAAATATTTAATAAACATAAATACCTCAAACAAATTAATTATAACTAACATACCTCGTGAAAATACTAAAATAACCATAGTTCAGATGCGTGTATCTTTGAAATGGTGATCAGAGAGAGAGAGATACTCATGTACTCATTTAATGGCCGAACGCTTACTTAGCTAAGCATGCCAGATGGGACGTTTGCTCTGTCTTTGCCTATTCACGTGGATGATGCCTGCCTGAAGGTTTTCAGGGCGGCAGGTTACATAAAGAGTTTTTCTCGCCGGTTTGACTCTCAAGCTGTCGAACAATAAATATGACTCTCAGAGTCATTTTTCTAGCGAGGTTGGTCGCCTAACTTACGATCGGAACTAGAAAACCAATATTGACTCCCACTTTAATTCCTCTTTCACTCATCTGCATTTTTTTCCCAGGGTTTATTAGTAATGTATTTTAAATTGGTTTAATTAATTAGTATGATTCTTGTTTATTTGCCCTTTCTTTTAGATGGTAAGTTTTTTATTTCTTTGATCACCATCTTTTTAATAGTGATATTTTATTTTATAATAAACGATTAATTTCTTAATGAAATATATAGTCATTAAGAAAGGGAGAAACACAATGAATTAAAAAAACACTAAAAAAGATTAAAATAAGTTATATCAGTACCAATTTTTAAAATAGTGATCTTTTAATTTAATTCTATTCTATTACTATTAGAAAAAAAAAGTATTAATAATGTCCTGAACCAAACACTTGGCAGTATAGCCGACAAAGGAATATCGGAAGCTTTCACACGGCCGCCCTGCTAAGAGGAGTGATGCTTTAGCATCATCATGGGTAAGACACCGTAAATCATAACTCTCATCTGAATCTTTTGGCACGATTCATTAACGGTGGCCTCCAGGCGTAGGAAGTGGACTTCTTTGAAAAGGGCAGACGATAAGGATTAAAGAATTATCAATTAATGCATGCGAGCATTAAATGTGAAAATCACTGTACATGGCCCATGCCCATTTGTGCGTTGAGCTTCGCTATTTGTCTATCATCCTATACGAAAATTGAAAATACCTTTATTGTACGTAAATTAATATAAACGAATATGAATACAAATTAATGGACTGTCGTGTACATTCTGGAAAATAATCTGGCACTTGTTCAAGGTCCAGCCGACATGCATGCCTGCCACGTCAATAAAAGTAAGTTTTTTGTTTTATTATTACAACAAAGGAAAAGCTCAAATACAAGATCTTTTGGAGGAGTCGTCCCTTACCTTCATGCTTTTTGGCGATAAAAGTAAGTCTACGAACGTCACCGAGTAGAACTGGAAGAGCTGGGTCCTAGCATTTAACTCACTACTTGCAAAGAAAGGAGACGCTTGCTCGTTTACTGTTTAAACTTTAAAGTGATACAAAGATATTTATAGACACCTCGAAATTTGATAACTTTGAATATTCTCCAAATCGACTCATATTTCCAGTGTTAAAAATTTATTTACTTAGTCGAGAAATGTTGAGAGCGATTGCGAGTCTTGGATATTCCCAAGCTAATTTGACTGGTGCAATGAATTAGATGTTGTGATGATTGCTTAAGTTCGAAGACTGGCCCAAGCCCCCAATAATCTCTTGGAAGCTAAAACATGTGAAGGCCAAACCAATAACATCAAGCCTAGTTCTAAGCCCATCCACTTTATTTTGGGACTCCTAGACCCGCCCATTTTAAAATCAATTATTATTCTTTGACACGTGATTCGACTAGTAATATTTTTTTTTCAATTTCTAACGGATTATTTAAACTTATTTATAAATAAATCAATTATATTTTTTTTATTAAATATTATTTTATCTTAAATATTTTTACATAAATTTTTAAAATCATAATTAAATTAATTTGATTAATGTTTAACTTGAGTAGATATTGGGTACATGAGTTGAATTATCTTTCAGATTTTTAAATATATATAACTATTAAAAATATTAATTACTGAAATTTTTTCAATTGATTTTCAGGCCTTCTTTATTTTAACTATTTTTTTTGACAATTCATGTGACTTGAGTCTAAATTAAAAATAGATAAATGATTATGAATTTTACGAGTAGAGTTTTTAATAAATCTTCCGTAGTGTTATCAATGTTTGTCAAAAAGAGTAAAATAATAACTAAAATGTGAAAAATTAACCTATAAAGATGAATTGAGAAAGCAATTTAATATGCTGATGAATTTCAATGTAATATAATTATTTCTTGATTCTGAGTCTTGATATGGTTAAAATAAATTTCCAATATAGTATTGTATAATTCAAGAGTGATTTAAGTAGTTTATTTTGTCATTCGGTATCGTATAAATTAAAATATTTCTCCAACTAAAATAATATTATATTACAATAATTTTAAATCGTTTTTATTTATAAGATTTTGATTGTTCATATAAAATATATTAATAACATGAATACATAAGGTGTGATGTGAATAAAAAAAACTTATTTAGAACTCTGTTGATTTTTAACTTGATAATCTAAGCATTGTGAATTAAAGAGTTTATTTTTATTATACATGGGGAATATTAAAGTTATGGGTATGGTAAAAACTTTGTTCAATGGGCTACATCGTCAAGGTCTCGTTTAATAATTTACTAAACTTTAATAGAATTTTTATTTCATTTTAATTAGACGATGAGTGGATTGATAAAAAAAGGGGGGGGGCATAAGAAATTTTATGAATCATCGCCGGTATATATCATGCCTTGGCATTTTTTTTTTAATGTTAATAGTGATAATAAAAATTAAAAATATAATAACAAATAATCTATTTATTTTCAAAATTCCTTGGTTTGCAAATACGCGGCTGGGTTACGCAAACAGGACCCTAGCTGCAGTCTACCAGGAAACACTTAATCCAAATAAGGAAACGAACGAAACAACAATACAGAGTCACAAGAGGAAAGACTACAGCCGACGGATTCGCTTCAATTTCTTTTTATAGGAGCGGCTCTCAATATTACTTCTTATTTCCCCGATGTGGGACTGAGCACCTCTCGATTGCATTGTTTTTCTTCCCTCCAATGTCGCTTTGTTCATGATTCGTGATTTGTTGCTATTTTCTCGTTCTTACGATTATATACTTGTATCGAAAGAGCATGTGATTAGCTTGGAGATACAATCTAACCTCGTGTCTTTGCCTTGATAGCTTTTGCTTTTTAAGGAAAAATTATGGAGAGTCTTCAACTTTGAATGGTCAAACAATATAAAAAAAATCACACATGTAACTCTGAAAAACCATTAGGATCCTTTGATATTCGCACTGAAAAAGGCAGGTATAACTTGATCAAATCCATGTTTGTTAGAAATTAAATTCTTCCATGTATTGGTCCCATGTATGTGTGCTAAAGTCATCAACTTTTTGTTGAATCCTGTATTAAAAGCATATTTTTTTGTATCAGAAAATAATATAATTACATTGGAGATGTTAATCTGGCTTTTAGTATCCACTTTGATAGCTTGTTCTCAAGGAAGAGAAATTAATTAAAAATCTTGGAAGTCGTAAACTTCTTATAGATGGGTCTCACAAGTTATAAAATCCATGCTAACTGTCATATGTTATGTATATATTTTGAATCCTTTGATGACTAACTCATGAAGTAGAGGTTCATGAAACTCAAATCAGTTGAAGTAATGATAACATCTTAAGAGTGATCGGCGAAGTTTCACTTAAATCGATCTTCTTTGCTGCCATTGTTTTTTGCTTAACATCCCTATAAAATACGGCCATTATAAATGTAGGCAGTGTCATGGCAAATAACTTCAACAAGAGGCTGGAGGTGGTCGGTGTGGCTCTATAATTTCAGTTATTAGAACCTTATTGTTTCCCGGTTAGTGTCAAATCTGATTCATATATTTTGTCAACACAACAATTGGATGATCAGATGCAGCCTTGCGTCAAGGATTCTTACGATTTGTTGAGGTGGGAGGTTGCCTTGATCGTCGCAGACAGGTCCCTTCTGCTTCAGAGTTCGACATGCCTGCTGTGCTAGAAGTTTCAGTTAGGTAGTCAGTAGGAGTGCAGGAATGTTGCTGATTGGATTGCAATAAAGGTAATTAGAAGTAATATAGTGCCTTCATGAATGACTGTTTGTATATGATTTCTCAATTGAATAAAAGGATACAGCTCAATAAAAGTATTGCTGTCAACAACAAATTACCGTCACAAGTTCCAGGATGGCTCAATTACCAACAACTGCGTGGCACGTAGGTTAATTCATTGTACATCCACTCTCCTTGTTCAAATGTTATAATAGTTCAGGATTGGTGCTGTGATTGGTTTGAAGATGTGGTGTTTTTTTTTCAAGGTTGTAATTATTTTAAAGTATCTCATAAAAACAAAATATATATATATTTTTCATATAAATTTCACAAAAGAAAACCTAATTATATCTCCAACCCAAACACTCCTGCCAATCCTCACGCTACAGAAATCTCTGCTCTCCAACCTTATCATAGATGCAGCAGGTATAGAAAACTATACAAATATATTGGCTCAATCCTCCTTGCAAATGGTATGAAAAACAAAATCCTCTAAATCTCAAATTAGGCATGTTATATATATATTAGGTTAAACCTTTAAGTAATTCATATATCAATTAGTTAAATTTTAGATTTGATTTTTAGAGATTATTAGTTTGAGTTATACAAACTTAAATTATTTAAAATTTATATAATTATTAATTTTAAAAGCTATGAAATTAATTAAGATATGAATAAACAGTTAAATATTTATGGCAATTAAAAAAAAAAACTCAATGTAAAGTTCATTTAAATATATTTGTGAAAGTAGTACCATAACATAACATGACCACGAGAAAGAATTTCATTACAACAACACTACCGATAAACCAAGTACTGATAGCAACTCTCGCTACTCCTTTCACTAACGAACTACTCCCGCCACAAAAAAGAAAGCGACAGACTTATCCAAACAAAACAACACAAGCTAAGAGGTAACACTTCCACCATAAATTTATCAATGGCTGCACTACCATCCTCTCCTTCTCTGCAACTCTCAACAACAACCATATCAGCAACCCATTTCCCTTATCCACATGCCGCGTTCCCAATCAAACCTCACGCGCCCAAACTCTCCACCATCACCAGCGCCACCACAGATGACAACAAAGGAGACACCACCCAAGAGCCCGAGTCGAAACCCGGATCCGCATCCGACGACCAATTTGAGAGCCGCCTGTCCCAGGTCCGACTCCGATACAGAAGCGGGACCGGCAAGAAAGCAGAGCTCCGGAAAGCAAAGAAAGGGAAATCTGGGTCCGGGTCAGGATCAGGAATGTACCTGCCTCCAGTTCCTTTAAAGAAATCGGTTTCTGATGGGTTAAAAGTGGAATTCGGGTTTAGCCCGTACAGTGAAAGGGTAAACGGGCGGATCGCAATTCTTGGGCTATCAGCTTTGTTATTAGTAGAGCTTGCAACGGGTAAAAGTGTAATTAATTATCACACTCCAGCAATTGTGGTGATTCAGATTTATTTTGTAGCTGCGGTGACTGCTTTGTATGTTAAGTACGAGAAAGAGAAGGTTAGCATCTGGCCTGACTCTGCTCCTAGTGAGGAATGAATGAGTAAATTGTTAGCAAAGAAAAATGATGTTTTAACACCCTTTTCTTCTCTGTAATACTAGTTTGTTTTGAAGCCATGTTTAGGTTACGCCAGTTTTTGTATTTCATTGGATGAGGTCAATGAATTATGATTTTTTTTAAAAAAAAAATATGACTTGATGGAAATAAATTTTAGACATTTTCATCAGATAAAAATTTCTTGGCGCGTTCATTTGGAATGCTAGACGTTCTGGATGGAAAATGGTGGACCTCTACGTTTCTGGAATGCATCTCCTCTATTTACGGATTCATCGGATGAAAAGAGGAATTGAAAAAAAAAAAAAAAGAAGCAAGATCGGGAGAAATGCTGCAAAAATTACCCAGCATTTGACATATTTTAAGGCCTTCAAATTATTAATCCTAATAGCAAAGAATTAGGTCAGAACCCAAGTTTCAATCACACACCAGGCGATCAGATTTAAGTTTGTTCACGGCAATATTTCAGTGTTTAAACACTAGCTAAATTTTGCATAGCAGAGGTTGTTTTAGCTAGTGTTTAACATCAGGCGCATGATCTGCGCTAGGGTTTTTCTTAACAAACTGCAGTGCATAAAACAAACAAACAAAAAGCAACAAAGAGTTGCGTACATACCTTCGACCAGCTAGTATCTTGGTTATATTTTCTTTGTTGTTGCCTTGTTGGTGGAAAAAATACTCTTCAATCACGAACAATGGAGAAAATGGCGTCAACTCTCCCTTGTTGGTTAATGCCTCTTTTTATTAAAAAAATGGAAAGAGGTTTTCGTTACTAAGAGAGTTTCTTCTTTTTTAAAAAAAAATATTATTTTTAATATCAATTCTAATGACCCTCTGATCAGTTTTTAGTTATTTTTTTAGTAATTAAAATCCATTTAAAATTCAAATCAATCGAGGATTCTAGAGAGCATGTTTCAGACATCTGAGAATGATTCTTCTGAAATATCCTGTCAAGGAATTTTTTTACCGGATGCGTCACAGTCCAATCAGTAGGTAACAGGGATAGCTTATGTTGCAAGGGAACAGTGTAAATCATGTCATCGCAAAGACAATCAAAGGCATTGTAGAAGAGGGCTTCCCTAAAACTGACGTGGCATTCTCTTAAACTAGTGCAATGTAAGGAGGTCATCTTATAGAAGAAGCAAATCAAGCAACCATTGCATGTGAATGCCCAAAAAAATCATTGACTTTCATTAATATAAAATACAACAAAATTCATGTTTCTTATTTCCCTTCATCATCAAGTATATTTAACATGTTTTGTCTTCCCCGAGAAAGAATGAATCATTGTTAACAAAAACAAACAATCTAGTCATAAGTTATAGTGCCAGTTCGGTGCCCTCAGCAACCCTAGGCATATCATTTCCGAGGGGAATTTGTGTGCTCTATTTCATTTTGTGTTCCCAACTCTATACATCTGTGATCTACCCTCTCTAAAGTTACAGGCAACCTCCACAAGCTCAAGCTAAACTCAGGGCAGAAAATAGCCCCGCCCCCGCCCCGGCTTGTTTTGGGCAGCGTAGATATTTCCATGGTTTTCTTACCATGCTGTCTATATAATTAAATTTCAATCAACTTGGCTACAAGGATGTCCGTGTCAGAAAATCATTGACAGCCAGATTAGCATCTCCATGGGCCACAGCATCTTCAGGTTCCGGCATGTATAGACTGGAGGATGAAGCCTGCACATCAAGAATCCAACATTTGGTCCTTATGAAACTAAAAAAATGCATAAACCAAGCACCCACAAGCTTCTATTGTGTTTAGTCCTTTTTGTACAAAGTGCAAACCGGAGACAGTAAAAATTATAAGATGGACCAAAAACACATGACGAGGGAAGGCCTTGAGAAATTTAAGCTTTCTTTTTCACTAGGCAAGTGATGGGAAATAAAGAAGCATCTAAAGCTCAGTGCCACAGCTGTAATGAGGCACCAAGCGAACGTTATTTGTTTTTGTGAAAATATTATGGTTCGATCGAGGATACCTTTGTATCAAGCTGAATCTCTCCACTGTTATCTGAGGTCAGGCAAGCACCATGTGTATTCATCCATTCCACACACTCCACTAATCCTGACCCATCCGAGTCCTTCTCATCATTTCCATCACTTGTTCTGGAGAAGCCCAAAACCTGTGCAATGTAAGAAATAGGTATTGTAGGGCGATATGACCGGGACATGCAACTCACAGCCTTGTAACGCATCTTTTCAACATAGAGATCTGTAAGAGGACAAAATTTCTTGTCAATAATGAATTGTCAACGTGAACTTTTGAAAATAGGAGAGTTACTAATGCCCACCCATAAGGCAGGTGTTCAAGTTAGGAGCCTCCTTGTAAAGTCTGAAAAACATAACATAGTTTCCCGAAGTGACAGCTGCACGAACAGCAAGAGCATGTTTAACAGCTTTATCCTTCTTCGCCCCCTCAGTTAATCTGGAAAATCAAAACAGTAGCATTTATAGAAAAATCATTTTGAGTCCATAATAAATAAATCAAACTGATCTACATTGATTATCCTAGAGTCAGCAGGTGGAAATTAAACTTGGATGCAGTTACAAATAAAAAACCTAAGTGTGCAACGAAAGGACAATTCAATACATAGAACATCAGTATAACCAAAATTCTCATTCAGCAAATGTCACCAACCTTGACATCGATGATACAAGATCTCTGTGGTTATTTGAGTGCAATATAACACATAGTAAGTTATAAGCTGCGAACTCCATATGACATCCTTCAATTCCTTCAGCATAGAGGGTTTTCAACTGCGATTGACACTGAAACAAAATGGAGAAAGTAAGCAAAAAATTATAAGCAGCTAAAACAATCACAATCATCATATGCAAAGAAAATTTAACATGGAATTGGAGAAACAACTGCTTCATTGTTTCTGATACCCCATTTACTTCAGACTCAAACTGCAATAAAGTACAAGCTTCTACACTATAAGAGACTTGACATGAACCAGAAAGAAAGAGACACTAATATAAGAATACCATGTCAGAGTAGAAGTTGCAAAACAATACATGTAAATAAATCAAAGAAATGGGGTATCGATATGTCCACAATGAAAAGTTTCATTGATGACAGAACACGCAACGAAAAGCTGCATGGTAGATAAAAGCTATAAAGCATCATTTCTCTACATGTTTTCAAATCGTTCAGCCACTATTAACGTCACTAAACATCATTTTTCTAACTAGACAAATGTTTATGGTCTTGCATGTAATGCTTAGGCATAATTATTAGCATGCAGACTCTTCTGCAAAGTGCAATATCCCGAAGGAAATTATTTGGCTGATTACTTGGAACAAAAAAAAAAAAGTGCAAACAGAAAACCACTTCTAGTCTCAGTAAGGACATGGATGAACAAGCAACGCAGCATATTCTCAACAGGGGTTTGACAAAAGCCCAGCCAACACAATGAACTGAAGAAAACGAACTAAAAAAAGTGGTTTATCCGTTTATGGCCATGTTAATAGCCTCACCAACCTGATTATACTCAGGCAAGTCCCCTGCTTCCAGTGATAATCGAGCATGCGTTTCATACACCTGAATGTACAAAAAAAACTAAATAAAGACTCAATAAAAAAAAGAACAGGAAAGATTTCATGTTGCATGGCAACATAGGAATCATACATACCTTAACTGTTAGCTGATTGTGTATTCGTTGCACAGTTAGATCTTGGCGAATAGACTTCAACTGATCGCATTTATACAGGTAGTTCTTCTGAGAATTCTGAACCATAAGCAGAGCTTTTTCTAGCACTTCTTCTGGTCTAACCTGTAAAGCAGTTTGGATTTAGACCAAACCAAACACATTGTGTGTGCGTGTGCACGCACAACTCATCTTTCACTTGCAATGTGAGAGGAAAATGAATGGAATGGAAAAGTGTGAGAAACATTTTCTCCTTAACTTGCGCGCACGCGCGTGTTTGTGTGACTCATCTTTTGCTTGGGAGGAGAGAGGAAAATGAATGGAACAGAAAAATGTGAGGAAAGCCTTCTCCTTGGATCCACAAAAGCCAACCAATCCAATTGGGAAAGAAAATGAGGAAGCGTTTGATTCAAAAAGAGAGAATTCAAAGTTTAACTTGATTCTAAATTCAAAATAGCATCTCATGGGAAAAAAAAAAAGTTAACAGTAAAGTAAATCCTCTCACCCAGAAAACAAATTAAAAAGGAAAAACAATCCTTCCCTTTCTTCTCTTATTCTCTCCAAACAGGGGAAAATAAATTTTCTTCTTCACTCCTCCCATTTCCCTCTCTTCCAAAAAAAAAAAGAGGAAAATATCGATATTTTCCTTGTCATTTGTTTCCCACCATTTTCCTTCCTCTCATCTTTCCTCTCTCCCAAAAAAAGAGGCAACTTCTGTTCATTTAAGGATGATGCAAAACAATGGAAACGACATAAAGATGTTAGATAATTACAGTGGAAGGATCAGGTGCAGAAGTTAGGCGCAAATAACGTTTCTCAATTTCCTGGCAGGTACCCTTGACAGTTAGTGCATCCCAATCAATGTCTTCAACGGCTTTGCTTCCACTGTCATCAAAACTTTTGTTAAGCATCAACGCACTAGCCCGCCTACTGTACAAGTTTCCAGCACCAGCATTTTTTTGTTTCAGGTAATTAATTTCAGCTCGATGTCCTTGTCCTTTTTCAAATCGCTTAGATCGACTTTCACGTCTCTTTTTTTCCTCTGGTGTATTTGCAATTGATATTGCACTAGAATAATAAGCAGTTAAACTTTGCTCCTTATCACTATCACTTGATGCATCATTATTAGCAGCATTCAAACCATCAGCTAGATGCTGCCTCTTAGCTGGCCTCTGAGTATTTTTACTTGGAAGTTTTTGCTCTGATGAAGAAAATTTCATATTATTCAAAGCATTCCACTTGCTCTCAGAATTCACACTTGGAGGCTGCATAGTTAAACAAGTTAATAAATGATTTAAACAAGATACAGAGAACACTTCCACGCTCAAAATACAGAAGCCAACAATGAACCCAAAAAACTAATGAGTGATGAGAAGGGAGAAAAGATGAGAGAAACGAGATGTACCTTTCTTTCCCAACCATCATATTTTACAATATGATTACTGATGGAAACAGGCTTATCAACCGATTTCTCTTCTGGTAAAGGCTCCCATCTACTTTTAGATCGTCTGCCTGGACTCCTTTTATACCTCGGTAATGAAGAAACAGGAGTGGGACATTGTGAACTGCAACCATAAAAGTTCAGCAAATATCTATTGGTGGATTCAAAGAAATTGCATATCAACCTATACTTGCTAAAAGGTCAGATATGAGATAGATCACAAGAATTATTTCAGCCGTAGTATTAAGAGGAGAGAGCAACTAAAATGGTCATACTCCATATTGACAGCCTCAGCATTTGGTATTGCAAACAGAGGCTCTGCATCCCAGTCCCGAGTGTTAAGTGTACCATCAGCAGTTGCCTTCGTAATGATCTGAAAGAAAGAAAAAATAATTATATACATGCTATCAAAAATCAGAAAGAAGTAGCAAATTAGAAGCCGTGTCAATTTAAAAATCTAGAGGAAAACCAAGTTATTGAAGCTCAATAAGACAGAAGACCGGACAGAAAATGATGCAACAGAGAAGTTTCAGCAGATATAACCTCAAAAAGTTTGGAGGTCAAATCCACAAATAGCTTTTAGAATACTGCACTTTCTGGATTTGGATGATTAGAATAAAACTAAAATGAACAGACATTTGATAAAGATGCAAGGCAGTTAGCAGAAATATGGCATTAAAGACTTATGGAGTTAGTTGTGGACACTCCCAAAATAGTGTATCACACTTCATAACAGAGTTTCAGATGGATGAGGACAAGCATCTACCTATAGTCCACTATTCTGAAATCTTGTGATTTCTTTATATTTAATCAATTTCAGTGATTTATTTGAATCTCTAGCCACCATCTCACTTATCATAACACATATTGGCCACGACATGAGCAGATAGATCATAGGGGAACAGGCAGCCCAACAAAATTTGAAACTCTATCAAATTTCTTCCTTGCAACAAGATGACTTCATTCAAAATGTAGTCTCTAGTTCCACTATAAGATTCTGCTTGTCGAAAGGAAGGTATGTTTTCATCTTAATATGTCAATTTTTAAATAAAGTTTTAGCATCAATAAAGACTTCTTTCTCGCTGTCCACATGCATTAAATATATATATACACACATAAATATAGACCATGTTAAACCGTATGTTGACAATCTATTCATTCCAAGTCAGGATTAATGGATACCTAGAGGTTACATAAGTGCCAAAGTATCAATTTCAAACTTAAAAATCCTTCCAAAGGAGAAAACAAAGGTGAAAAAAGGAAAATGAGCATATGCTATTGCACACTTTAAAGGCAACAGTTGATGCCAGAATAGCTTATAGACAAATGCAATTTACCTCCTTCATGATAGTCTGACAAGCTACCCTTTGTGTATCATCTTTACAGAGATTGAAAGCTCTTTCAACATAACGACGCAGTGAGTTAGGAAACATTCCAGGCTGCAAGAACCAAGAAAGTGATTGATGCTGCATGAAATCAATATTCAGACAATAGTTTTTACAGAACAATGAATGATAAAAGACCATTTGAGAAAAAAGAATGCTTCTTGGAAAAATTCCTCTTTTTCTTCTTTTGAGAAAAAAACACGTGTTTTTTTGTCACAGCCTATGGACAAAAAACATGAATCCTTGAACAACATCTTCAAAGTATCATGCTTTATACCAAAAGCATAGAGGTTTAGTCTAAATATGGAATGTAAACAGAGAAAGGAAACTTCTCTCCATAAAAATTGGGTAAGAGGGATTAAGTCAGGAATTGTTCTGATATGTGTATAGAGACATGTAGCCATACACCAGCCCAACCGCACAACCCCCTCTTCAATCAACCCTACTCAGCTACTACTCCAGGTCAAAAACCACCCACAGCTTCTTTCTCATCAATGCTGCTTGCATAGATATTAAAGGATTTTTTTTAACCATCACATCTAAGAATACACACCTACCTTTTTAGCATAACCTAAGTCTTTAGCTTAGAAACAACAAAAGAATTGGTAACACCCCTACATTAAACCGCATGCTATGAAAACAAAGCAGATCTGGACCCTTCTAAAATCTTCTAACATCTAGAATACCAGGATCATAATCTGAAACTGTTCTGGCAAAATGCACTACAGAGACATTACTAGTAAATTACAATTTTTTAAGACTTTTTGGTGGGTATCTCAACGACAAATTATAAATATGTGTGGAAAGATTAAATTTAGAAGGACAAGTTGATAAGAAACCAATATCACCTTAAGCATGGAATTAGTCGCATCATTAGACAACACTCTGTCATTTGGCTTTGGCATCGACACACTGATATAAGCAGGTTTTGCTGCTGCACTGTTCATGGGGCCATCCTTGTCGGTTTTTGATAAACCCAAAGCCAAATTTGAAGCAATTCTAGGATTTGTTGGAATCTGCATTCTGCTTACCCTTCGAGAATCTAAAGATGAAGCATTTTGCAGAGTTGATTGATAACTCTGAGTCACCTGATGAGCTGCAGGAAATTGTGAATTAGGAGCTTGTGGAGCAGTCTGTTGTTGTTCCTGAATATTATCATATGAAGCTTTTGACTCAAGAGAAATTTGAAAGTGTGGTTGCGTAGGACTAGCATGGTGATTTTGAAAACTTGGAGTCCCTTGTTTCCAGCCATCATGAGTGCTACTGATAGTTGCACCGGTCTAACAATAAAACCAGAAAAGACAACATTAATTAGAGTAACCAAACTTTTGTTGTGAAATAATTGACTGATCCAACACAATAATACAGTATAATATGCTGCAAACCACAATAAAGTCAAATGAGGATTTCATGTATATATTGCAACTACAACTGCATGTCTGAACAATTAATTGAGGATTGAACTACAAAGCATTCTCAAGAGATAAGAAGGAACCCATATGAAGCCACATAGAAACAAGAGCTGTATAACATGTCTGACCAAGTCATCTCTAGTAGAGGGCATCATATAGACAGATTAAAAGCATTTGAAAGCTATCATTGATATGAAATAATATCAGAATCATTTAGGCATATGATAATAATCTAGAGACCAGATATGATTCTATATCACAATCACATTATCATTTTGTGACAGCAAACCTGAAAGAATCTATATCACAAAAATGTTACCTCTAATACCCATGCCTTCTGAATCAACAACAAATTAGGACATATTTTTAGAATACATATTTTAAATTAATAAAGAAAAACACCATGGAGTAACAAAACTCCACAAATCTCTAACAATTCAGCATCCCTTAAAAGCCTCACAATTTCTCAAGAACTGCAAATTTCACTAACATAAAACTTCCTCGCTCTCTTTCACCTGGTTCTTTAAAACCCACAAAGATAGCATGCTGCAATTATTTAAGAGAGGAAAAAAACAGACAATGTCCAGAACATTTCCACCAGTCTAGCCACATCGTAAAATATATGCATCTTATTAAAACATGAGAAAGTGCATTGTGCATGTGTCATTTTACATTACAAGGGAAGCAATAGTTGTGTTTGAATAGAGCACTTCAAAACTCTTTTCCCAACCCACTCTGTAATTTCAGAAACTACAACACGCATTTTTTTAAAGTCTAGTGGAAAAATCATTCCTGTTGGTTGGTAACAAATTTGTAAAATGTGACCCACATGCAAGGAAACAATTCTCAAGCAACAACAGCATCCTAAATGCTCAAATACCAGATTCCAATCAAACTGAAACAGGGAAGTTATATACTAACCCTCCCTGATATCCTTCAGTCTAGTCCATGGTCATTGATCTCAATCCCCCCCCACCCACCCACTGGACAGGACCTCAGGTTGCAATTCAATAATAGAAAACTAATCAGGAAAGGAAAAGGGTCAAAATGCAAAGCTAATCATGAATTAATGATAGAAGTGTGGGGGAAATAAGAGCAGGAACAAGCATGGATATCTTCATGGTAGCAATTTGCTCTTACTAGCTCCAACATACTATACCTGCAAAGATGGCAATTCAGATGGCACGGATTCAGGCCTCCAAGATGCCGGGGTGAAAGATGCGGGAGGTTGGGTGTTGGAAGTAGGACACACACCTGACACTGCACTTCCCAGGTTAGATGTGCTAGCAGCAGACAAGTGTTCTGTCCCCGGAGCGCAACTAACTTCTGTTTGACTGTAATAATCAGCCCATTGCTTGTAATGCTGCTCGTAGTTCATTGACGTTGAGGCTGCAGTACCAGAACTATAAGCACTTGTTGTGTCTGGAACATAGGTTGAATACTGCTGAGATGTATAATTTGCGTTATTGGGATCATTCCACAAGGAAGTCTGATTACTGTATCCACTACTTGGGTAACCTCCAGCTGTCTGATAATCACCAGGATTGTAGTAAGTGGTTGAATAACTTGTTGTCCCAGTATAAGACCCTGTATTCTGAAATGAGGAAAGAGGCTGATAAGGAGCACCTGTGTTTTGATATGCCCCTCCAGTTGAAGAGTACGAATGGGTAGGCTGCTGCTGAGAGTATGAGTGGCTGGGTTGCTGCTGAGAGTATGAGTGGCTGGGTTGCTGCTGTGAGTATGCGTGGTTGGGTTGCTGCTGATAACCATTATTATAGTAACTTGAATATCCACTGCTTCCATAACCATATGGATCTGTAGGATTGTATGCTGCATAACTACTGTAATCTTGGGTTACGCTCATTGTTCCTTGAGCCGATGAACTAGCAAGGGATGCAGTATTTAAACTATCTTGAGCACTTCTTGCAACCTGCTGTGTTCGGTGATCATGGTGATAACTGGAATTTGAAAGAATTCCATTCTCTGTAGTGTGATTATCCACTCTATGCATGGTCCATGGTGCAGCTTCAGACTCATATGCTGTGGGATTATACGAAGATGTTTGCCCTTGGCTCACATCAACAACATATCGACCCTGAAACAGCAGCAAGTAAAAATTATGCTTTAACAATGAGCATCGTAGATCAGTAAAATTTTACAAGAATTGACAAAACACACCAGTTTGGAGCATCTCAACTAAACTAGCTACTGGCCCAAAAAATTACATTAATATCAGGATCTCAGGTAACCTTTAGTTCGAATCCTTTACTAATCTTCGCCATGTTACTAAATAAAAAGATCAACAGAAAACTCTCAAGTGCCACTAAAGTTCCTCTAAACAACATGATGAAACTAGAGCCAATTCGTTAAAACAAATACAATTTATTTTGGTCCACTATTAGCAATCAATCATATCCAGTAAGTTCAACAATTAACTCAAAAAAAAAAAAAAACTCTCTTTGCCACCAACCAACTTAATTTAATACCAAAAAAAAATCAAATAAACCTCAGAAAGTACTTCATTTATCAGAAATTAAAGTTAACGTCAAAAAAAAATCCAGCTCTGTGAAACTTACCTCAAGTGAATTAGGGTCCACTGAAGCTCTGGCTTGCGTATTAACTCCTTGATTCATCATCAGCATCTACTCAGCATCCTGAATTCGACATATTAAGATCAAATTAAGCTTGGAATAGCATAATCAAGAAGGCCACGAAACCCTAATTTAGTAGCGATAAATTAAGAGAAAAATCCGACCCTCGATAAATTAACACGGAGAAACCGACGGGAAAGATCGACGAAGCGAGAGGCAAGTAACAGAAAATGAATGGAGATCAGCAAAATAAAAAATAGCTAAAAAACAAAGAGGAAGAAGAAATATTAATTTTGTACGTGTAAATAACCAAAATACTAATAATAATAATAATAATAATAATAATAATAATAATAATTAATTTTGTACGTGTAAATAACCAAAATACTAATAATAATAATAATAATAATAATAATAATAATAATAATAGGAAGGAAAACAAAACGTTAAATGTGTTAGAGATAAGGAGGAGAGAAGAACTTTAAGAAGAAATAGAGGGACAGATTCAACATTCAAGTAAGGAGCAGTCAATGATAGGTCGTGTTTGGGTCCGTGCGTATGTCGTCGATGGCGGTGCAGGAAGATATGATGTTATGATTATTTTGGATTTAAGGGACGGAGTTAGGTTATTATAATTTATTTAGTACGTCAACTTATAAAAAATTGCAACTAGTCGTTTGTGCTTTTCAGTTTTTGCTTGGCATTTAGGACATCGTTCATGTAGTTTTTGCTTTGTTGATTAAAATGTTTCCTCCTTTTTTTCTTCTTTTCCTTTTCTCTTTTTCGTTTAATAACAGACGTGCAAAATGGCTAGCAACAGTATGAAAATTCATTATACTGGCTTTGGTTTCCTTTCCGATAATAAAATTCAGATTCTTTCCTAGACAGAAAGATTAATTAGATTCTTGTTAACTATATTTTTTAAATAATACAAACTATTTTACAAATTTCATAATAACATGTTCGATTTGATATTTCTACGAATCAATGTCCTAACATAAAAACAAATTAACACATAAATTATTATTTTATTTTGTTAATTGTAATTATTTTATTCATTTAATTTATATGTATTTTAACTAATTTTTTAAAATTAATAAATATATAATTTTTTAATAATTCTGGTATTTACGATACTCAAACTAATAATAATTTTTAAAATTTAACTAATTAAATTATATCTATCAGGACATATGGATTGTGGACCTCTAATATACTATTAGAAAATTAAAATTAGTATTTATTTTTTAGATTGTATTATGTCCCTCCTAAAATAATTTGATAGGATTCATTACAATTATAATATCTATTTACAGACTCCGTTTTCACAAGAGAGGAGGGAGTGATTTTTCCACGGCTGATTGCTCAATAATTGCTCAAACGCATTTTCCTTTACAAGAATTCAGTCGAAGCGAGTAATTCAGTATTCCTTCCCCAAATTTTGTTTTTGCTAAAAAAATTTCCAGCGATCTGCACAAGCAACGCATGCGGAGGTCAACACTCGATCAGCAAAGATTGACCAAACTCGACGTATATCCAAGCTTGCTTGAGGCCCAGACGAGGGGATGAGATGGTCCGTTAATAAATCCATGCGAGAACGTTGCTTTCTAGTTAAAAAAAAAAAAAAAAGTAAGTTGTATGGTGACATTACTCTCACGTTTGCATTATGCTTTCTTGCGAGTCAAAGGACATTGGAATAGTTAGAAAAAAATTAATTTGATCATTAGATTTATTTTTTTTAATAATTGAGCTTTTTAAACATAAATTGATAACAAGTCACATGTTTTTTTATAGAAAAAATAATAAAATTAAAATACATAGAATCAAAGTAATAAACAATAAAAAATAAATAATGATTTCAAATTTTATCCAAACTAATTAGTTTGTTTTCTCATTTTTAGTTATCAAAAACACAAACATTATATCAAATTTTATTTTTTTTATTTTTTCACGAGAAGAGATAGAAACACTTGCTAAAATTTGGTGTAAAGATAAAATTGTCTTTTACATATATTCTCACCTCCAAAATAATTAAAATTGATGGCAATGAGATTTATTGAATGAGTAGAGTTTGTGGTAGTTGTTTTAAACTTTGATATTTTTTAGAAAATCATATATAAATCAAGAATGAGAACTTTTATGTGGAGATGATTATGTGATTTGAACCTTTTTTAGTTTATTGATATTTTGTAAGATGTTTGTTAGTTGAAAAATAGTTTTTAAATAGAAGATTTACAAGCTCAATTTCTCGGTCATTGTAATGGTAACCGGGTTTTGAGTTTTGTAGATAATATAACATTTATCGTAACAAGTAACATGTTGTTTACCTTATTTTTTTTAAAAAAAAATAAATATAAATAACAAGTTGCCTACCTCTTTAAACCATAAAAAAATACAGGTCCAAACATGGAAACTCGAACTTGAAAGTCCACATGCATGGGCTCTTGCTTTTGAGTTGTTTTTTTGACTATTTTTATCTTGTTTTTGTATATTTAACTATAGATCCATAAAAATATATATTGAATTCGATTAGTCATGATCTGAATTACAAGTTCGACCGGTTAAGCCATAACATCTAGTTTATTATTATTTTTTTTGTTAAATGTAATTTTTGTCCTAAAAAATATTGATTTTGTTCACATGCGTAATTCGCGTCACTATATTGGTTGATTTATTAAAGTTCATATGTTTTTTGTAATGAGTTTTTTTATCAATTTTACCATTCAACATTGAGTTAGTTGAAGATTTAAGTTTTTCAACTTTTTTCTTCAAGATTATCCCTATAAATTTCGCACACATGTCAGTTTAGATTAAATTGGATAGATTCAGTATATTTTTATTTTAATACTGAATAAGAAATTCGTTCAATATACAACTAATTTTAAATTTATGGTTAAAATCTATCTATTGTTTAGAAAATGAACAATATATATATTTTTTCATCTAGGAAAAAAATTTACTCCAACCCGGGGTAACAGGCTAGTTAATATTGTTTTTTAACTCATAATCAGCATAAACTATATAAAATCATGTTGCTACAGTTTCTGGATCAATGGACAAAAAAATGTTTAACAAAAATAAGAGCACTTGGTGTTCCTTTCTCCACAGAGAGATCATATTTTTAGAGATTTATGGTAATCCTACTAAAGTCACTTTTAGAATTACATTTCTTCGGCCATGATGGTCTTGTTCTTAGAGAAGGGTTGGGGACTTGGGATTTCGTACTTATAAATCCAAAGCCACAAATTAGTTAATATTTTTGCATTTGCAAATTATTATAAGTTAGTTGTTTGAATGACATGCTCCCAGCCTCCAACGATATTGTATTAATCCATGTGATTTAAACATTGAAGAGGGCCTGTGTGCGTGCGTGGAGGGCCAAGATAGAAATATCACGAGACTTTTGTGATGTTACAAGAAACTTTAAAATTGATAGGAACTAGTAAAAGCCTTGGAATATTCTTTCAAGGGACTGTTGTGAATACATTACTAAAATTAAGGGACAGGTGATTTTCTGAAAAATTGGGAAGAGCCACTGCCCCACACATTTGGCTGACGCGCCGCCCCTGATAACAAATTTCAGATCGTTGTTTTTTCTCCGGTCCTTTTCCTTCATTTGGACGTGCTAGCATTGTTGCTCTTCGCGTGGGTCTTAATTTCCTGGCCTCGAGGCTAACAGCAAAATATCCCCCGAGACGTGAGGTAATAAGCACAAGTTTGTCTCACTTCTAGAAAAATATATTAAGAAAGACGGGAGAGTTTTCAATTTTTCCTTCATTAAACTGGAAAGGCATCGACCTATAGCATTGTTGTCTTGCCCTAAAACCGAATTAACTTGAAAACCATGAAACGTTTACTAATAAAAAAAATGAAGATTCCTGTTATAACCCGCTCCCAACTAGTAGACAAGCGACATCATTCAACAACCAATCAGTTTATACGTGTGTCGAGGGTTCCAAGGAACGCGAAGACTTCATAAACCTTCAGCAAGTTCGAACGTGTTCGTAAGTTAAGAATTGTCCAAACCCACCCATAGAAATACAATTAGGCGAGGTGTTCAAGAGTCTGCCCTCCCGGATTCTAATATTGTAAAACACCGCAGTCTCCCTAAGAACCATGGGGAAGGGGGCATTTTAATGCAATCTTGGCCAAGGCAGCGAAGGCTGACGCCTTGAAAGGAAACCGTCCGGTCAGTCATAAGAGGCTTGGACTTGGTGGCCCACATAATGCAAGACTGCAGATGACACAGGGGACTATAACTACCGCTGTTTTCAAGTGTAAACGCATGGACCAATCAACTACAGATGACATGGGAATATAACTATCGCTGTTTTCATGACTTCACCTCCCCTAGTCCCCCATCTTTTGAAACGTCCATCATCAGCATTGTTACTAGGAATTACCAGAGTCGGATCATCCAATCAAGCTTGAACACTCTTGTAAATGCATGGACCACTCATCTCGAACAAGTTTAAACTCTACGCAGTAAAATTCAACTTCTATTGAGCAGGTAACAAACTTTTGCCGGCACAAAATTAAGGTTGCAACTATGCAATTCTGGAATTCGGAGTCAATCTAAGCCCGCTATTCCTGTCTTCATGGCTCTTGCCAACACCACAGACCCGCCCTCCACTCAGTCATTTTGTCTTCTGACACCAGACAGATAACTACTAGGACAGTTAGATACCAGTTGGCACAATGACAATCCAGATAATAGGTCAACAGGAAAATAAATTCAAGAAATCACCTAGATAACTGCTAGAAAAAAGCTTCTATTTCTGGTAGCTGAAAAGGAATCTCTCCACAAATCATTCCCGTCTTTTTTCTCACCTCTTGACTATTGAGATGGTCACATTTCGAAAAGTCCAGTTTTCATTCCACATGCAACCCATAAGCTGAATAGTTCCAGTTTTCATTCCACATGCAACCCATAATCGTACTTGTCAACTATTGCCCAAAGTAAATGGCCAATGAATACCAAATCATAGTCCACAACATCCATGAACTATACACGTCTGAACTCTCCATTATGCTGCTCGACACTAGCTTCTTGGTGCAAAAACTATTCACATTCTTATTCTGCTCATTACTAATATTTTATTTTATCATTATTAGTGAAGAAAGAAAGGACGACTAAGATGGTAAAAGCTGGTGCATAATGATGAAAGGATGGACCTTATTCAACCTGGTTGCTGATCCTCAAGGAAAAATTAACCTACATATCATAAAGGTGTGTTAAAACAGGGGAACAACCTTACCTGAGGTTTTGCACCACCGCCATTAGAACCAAACCCCTGGTGTTTACACCCACATTC